CCACCTTAGGTGTATGTGGCTGGCGCCTTAGCTGCTTGAGCCACAGGCGCCAAGCCTTGAAAGTTATGTTTAAAAGACTGGAAAGCCAAGATGACCATTACAGTTATTAATTTTTTTTTTTTTTGAGACAGAGTCTCACTCTATGTCCTGGGCAGGGTGCCATAGCATCATAGCTCACAGCAACCTCAAACTCTTGGGCTTCAGAGATCCTCTTGACTCAGCCTCCCCAGTAGCTGAGACTACGGGTGCCTACCACAATGATTAGCTAATTTTTCTATTTTTAGTAGAGATGGGGTCTCACTCCTGCTGAGCTCAGGTAAATCCACTTGCCTTAGCCTGCCACAGTGCTAGGATTACAGGCATGAGTCACCGTGCCTGGCCTATAGTTGTTGATGTTTAAAATGACATTTTAGATACTCTAATTAGCCCAAATAGAAATTTTTAGAGCCTATTGGTAATTTAAGTGTTTAAAATGTGTGATTTTTATGCTATGAATTTATGTGTTTTAAGTGTATACTTCAATGATTTTTAATAAATTTTCAGACTTATGCAACTGTCACCACAATCAAGTTTTAAAACATTTCCATCACCCCAAAGAGATCCCCAATGCCAGTTTCCTGTCATTCCTCATTCTCACCCCCACCCACAGGCAATTCTTAATCTTTCAGTCTCTAAAATTCTGCTGTTCCTGGACATTTCACATAAATGAGATCATAGAACATGTAGTCATTCGTGTCTGGTCTCTTTAGCTAAGCACTATTTTCAGTATTTTTAAACAGACATGATTACATATCATAAAATTCACCATTTTAATGTATGTTCTTTATTCTTGATTATGAAACTTCACAAGGATGCTAGCATTTGGGGGTTAGTTTGTTTGTTTCCTTTTTTTGAGAGACAGGGTGTCTCTGTTGCCCAGGGTGGAGTGCCGTGGTGCAATCAAAGCTCACTGCAGCTTGAAACTCCTGGGCTCAAGGGATCCTCCAGGTTCAGCTTCCCAAACTCTGGGATTACGGTTATGACCAATGTGGCTGGCCTGAATAAAGTATTCATTCTCTTAGGCACTTAATAAGCACTTGTTTTTTTTTTCTGCTCTGTATCATCTATAATTTAATTTTTTTTCTTGCTTTTATCCCTCTGTTATTTTATTCCTGAAATGCCTGTTAGACAGCCCTCCACTCTTCCATTCTGGATTTGCCTCTAAAGTTGATTTCCTTTATGACATTGTAAAATCTAGCAGTTCGTATTTTTAATTTCTAAGAGCTCTTTCTTGTTCTCTGTTCATTTTCCACAGCATCATGTTTTGGTTTTATGAATACAGTATCTTCTTGAGAATCTTTGAGTATGCTAATTAAGAAAATTTATTTTCTGTTCCTTCCAGGGTCAGCTGGAGTATTCGTCCAGCCTATTCTACTTGTGGGGGACAAGGGGATGGAGGAAGAGAGGAGGAACTGGCTGAGCTGTTTTGCTCCATAGCTGGACAAGCATCTGGCGCTTCCTCCTCCTTTGTGGCTTCCTTCTAGGTTGTGGCTTCCTTGTGTACAATTCCAAAAACACAGTGTAAAAGGTCAACCACAAGGATGTGGAAACAATACCTAGGTTCAGATCCCATCTTGCCACCAATGAATTTTGTGACCTTAGCCAAATTATTTTATCTCTTTTAAATATCAGTTTCACCCGTGAAATGAGAATAAAGATAATAACTTCACTAAGTTGTTTGGGTACCTAAGATAATACATAGGTAGCATTTGGCTTGGTGACACATAGTAAAAAGTTCAACTAATACTTATCATTCATCAAAAGCCTCTATCCTTGGTAACATCCTTTCAGAACTCTACTGTTATTAGCTGCTGTGGTCTGAAGGTGTTCCCCCAAATTCATTTGGTAGTAACATTAAGTGGTGGGTCCTTTAGGAGAGGATTATGTCAGGAGGGCAATGCCTTCATGGGTGGGATTCACTTTGACAGTGGCCATCTCTGAGGAACCAGTCCAAACCAGACATGCAACCTGCCGATGCCTTGATGTTGGGCTTCTTAGCCTCCAGAAATGTGAGAAAACAAGTTTCTCTTATTTATAAATTACCCTATGTCAGGTATTTTGTTATGGCAGCACAAACATTGGCTTATTCCTTCTTACAATTGTCCTGCTTTCACTTTTACAAGGTTTCAGAATGAGAGACAAAAGTTTCTGATCCAATAAATTGCTGCAATGATTTGAAATGTCTTTAAAATTTTTATTTTACTGGGCGGCGTCCATAGCTCAGTGGGTAGGGCACTGGCCACCCAGCCTGGGGCAGCTAAAACAACAATGACAATTGCAACAACAAAAAATAGCCAGGCATTGTGATGCATGCCCTCAGTCCCAGCTACTTGGGAGGCTGAGGCAGGAGAATCACTTAAGCCCAAGTGTTGGAGGTTGCTGTGAGTTGAGATGCCACAGCACTCTACCCAGGGCAACATAATGAGACTCTGTCTCAGAAAAAAAAAAAAAAACTAAAAATAATGGTATTAACTGGGAATATTAGACTGACTTCTGTGCAATGAGACTCTGTCTAAAAAATAATAATAAATTTATTTTACTTAAAGCTAGTACTACCCTGTAGAGGCTACATACACATAGTCTTCTTCCCATCCTGAGCCCGTGTCAGTCTTTGAATGGGCTCTTTCTGTCAGGGGTGTGTGTGTGTGTGAATTTGTTTTTATTGAGGTATGGGACACAGGGTGGGAAATGTTGCTGTGGGGTATGGGATACCCCTCCCTCACAGGGAATGTCCATTCTAATCTTCCTGGGGAGCTTTGTGGAACTTTTTCTTCTTCTTGGAGCCGCTCTTGATGCCTACAGCCTCTTCCGGCCCGCTGCCGACCACCTCCTCCTTAGAGGAGAATTTCCACTTTTTCTTAGACACGCTCTTGTTGCCTGCCTCTTCAGGATCACTAACTACCGTTTCCTCCTTGGGTGAAGCTTTCTTCTTCTTGGGAGGACTTACAATGCCCGTGGCCTGCTCAAGATCACTACTAACCAACTCCTCCTTGGAAAAAGATTTCTTTTTCTTGGGTTTAGATACAGGGATAGATGGGTGGCCTTCCATTCCATTCTCCTGAGGAACCTCCTGGGGCTTTTGCTTATTCTTCTTTTTGGGTTTTTCCACAGTATCCTCACACTCCTCCTGAGAGCTACTGCTGTTTTCTGAAGAAGCGAAGGCAAGTGCAGCCAGTCGTTTCTTTTCCTTCTTCAAGCGTTTCTTCTCCTGTTTCTCCAGTTTCCTAGTGATCTCAGCAGCCGCTTCCTCTGCCTGAACCATTGCTTCCTTCATGACATCCAGATTCTTGCATGGAATCTCTCCAGTCTCATAGAAGGACAGCCGCTCCTCAACTTGTTCCCGAAGCTTCTCCCCAAATACGCTCGTGGGCACCTCAGAAAAGCAATCGATTCGTGAGGCAATACTGCGTTTGTTTGCCAGGTATCGGGAAATTACGCCTTCGTTCTTGGCAGGTGCTCGGCCAATGAATGGAAAATGAGTCCATATTTTGGCGTGTTACCCCTTGTCTTCAGGGCTCTGGAAACTTGGTCCCTTTGCTGGGACCTGGGAATCACTCAGACACCAGGACAGGCCATTCTACTGTCAGTTTTAAATAGAGAACTTTCTTGTTCCTTTCACGAAAGTTTCCTTCATGAATATTGGGGCCCACTCTTAGCTAAACCAACGCTACAAATCTATTAATGATTACAGCTCTGCCAGTTCTTTCTAAATCTACGCCTCTGGCCTGGTGGGGTGCCTGCCATCACCTACTTTTCTCTGAGGCTGTAGAGAAGGGCCGGGTAGAGAGCGCCCGGCTGGAGCGGGAGAGATTTCTCCACTAGGGGGCGCGCCCGTGGGATGGGTCTCTGCGAGCCGTACGCAACGTCAGGGGCGGGAATACCTACGGCCCCGCCCCGCCCATCCGCAGCGCCCTGTGATTGGAGGGAGGAAGCATCACTGGGCAGCGCCGTTGGGAGGAAGAGGGCCGCGGCTGGAGGAGACTCGGAGGGGGCGGACGTGCGAGAGCTGGACTCTGCAGCGCTTAGGGAGCTCGTCTCTCTTGTTTCTGCAGTGAATGGCGATGAGATGGAGCGCGAGGGGAGCGGCGGCAGCGAAGGGTCAGCCGGGCTCCTGCAGCAGATCCTCAGCCTGAAGCTCGTGCCGCGGGTGGGCAACGGGACCCTGTGCCCCAACTCCACTTCTCTCTGCTCCTTCCCAGGTACGGCCCGCGCCTGCGCACTGCGCGCCCCTCGGACAGTTCTGGTGGGCTCAGTTCCGGTGCCGGAGGGAGGGTGCCGCTCGGTCGCCGGAGAGCGCCTTCCTCTCTTACTTCCGTCACCTCCTCGCCGGCCCCTCAGGCCGAATCCCCCACTAGCCTGTGTTGGGGACGAGATCGGAGGGGGCCGCAGGTGGGCCGGGTGGCTGCAGGGAGCTTGGCCGCCCTACCCCGACCCCAACCCCGACCCCGACCCCGACCCCAGCCCCAGCTGGCCCTGCCCCTCGGAGTTTCCGAGCTTCCCAGGTGCTGACCTGCATCCGACAGCACCCGGAAGGCGCTCATCCCTGCCCTGTTTATTTTCTCCTATGAGGGGAAACTCGGCTTTGGCATCCGGCCTGGCTGAGGGGCAGTCAGAGCTCACTCTTTTTGGTTGTGGCCGGTAGCCGCATCGCTCTGCGCCGGGAGCTTGTCTCTGATCGCCGGCACCTCGGTCCAAATTCACCTTCTTCAGCAGCTTCGCTTTTTAGGAATCACTTTCGGCGACCTGTTGCGGAGACTCCCACGCACTCGTTCAAGATTTTTGACACAGCTGCTTTTTAACTCCACCCCCACTGAATCTTCAGTTGGGCCTGGTAGAAGGATTTTACAGAGTTATAATGCAGGGAAGAACTCCTTGTGCTCAGAAAATTGAAGAGAGGAAAAATTACTTGGGAATATTGATAAAAATCTTTGAAGGGAAGGCATAGTTATTTGTGTTGGGCCCTTAAAGGCAAGAAGACCGAGGCCCATGACCGGAAATGGAAGGTGGGGCTCCCCAGCTGAGTTGGCTGGTATGTATTTGTGAACAATGAGAGAATGGAGCCAGGAGACAAAGTAAAGGGAAGGAAGCTGGGATCACAGACGCAGTCCTAAACAGACACCACTGATTTTTCATGGTGGGCACTGACTGGCAGGTACCAAGCAGTAGATACTTGGGAAACTTATGTGTATTACCTGCCTGGGGGTTCTCCTAAACAAGTCTGTGAAATAAAGGAGAAAGTCATAATTCGGGATGAAGTTAGCTTGTATCCATTGCTAAAATGGGAATCTGGCAGTTCAAGTTATTTCAGAAGGTACTAGTATCACATTGGACTCTGATTAAAAATATTTTTATGGGCTCGGCACCTGTGGCTCAGGTGGCTGAGGCGCCAGCCACATACACCTAGGGTGGCGGGTTCGAATCCCCAGCCCGGGCCCGCCAAACAACGATGGCTGCAACCAAAAAATGGCCAGGCGTTGTGGCGGGCTCCTGTAGTCCCAGCTACTTGGGAGGCTGAGGCAGGAGACTCGCTTGAGCCAAGGAGTTGGAGGTTGCTGTGAGCGTGATGCCATGGCACTCTACCCAGGGGGATAGCTTGAGGCTCTGTCTCCAAAAAAAAAAAAAAATATATATATATATGGCTCAACCGGCTAGGGCGCCAGCCACGTACACCTAAGGTGGCGGGTTCGAATCCCCAGCCCGGACCCGCCAAACAACAATGACGGCTGCAACCAAAAAAATGGCCGGGCGTTGTGGCGGGCGCCTGTGGTCCCAGCTACTTGGGAGGCGGAGGCAGGAGACTCGCTTGAGCCCAGGAGTTGGAGGTTGCTGTGAGCTGTGATGCTACGGCACTCTGCCCAGGGGGACAGCTTGAGGCTCTGTCTCCAAAAAAAAAAAAAAATATATATATATTTTTATATATTTGCATATATACATACATACCTATGCATGTATATGAAATAAATGTGAAATTTATTTTATGAAGTAAATATATATTTCATATACGTGCATATGTATGTATAAAATAAATTCCATGTTTATTTCATATAGATGCATATATATATATGCACATATATGTATGTACGTGTGTGGTGTTTGGAGGTCCTGTTCGGAAAATGGTCTCATAATCTGGAGGTACTACCATAACCAATTAATCTGGTTTTGTTGCCTTATTTCCCCTCACCGCTTTATTTTTAAAAATTTTAAACTTAGTGAAAATTGATAGACCAGTACAACCGATTACCCACGTGACCTTTACTTAGATTCATAGTATGTTGACTCCTTGGCTTTTTCATCATACACGTGTAACTTCTATGGACATGTATACATACGTACATCTCAACTTTCTAGGGAGTCATTTGATAGGAAGTTATAGACATCATAATCTCAGCTACACAGGAGGTTGAGACAGGAAGATTGTTTTAGCCCAGGAGTTTGAGATTGCTGTGAATTAGGCCCTGGTGACTGATACTTTAGCACATATCTTCTAAAATATTTTTTTCTTTTAAATTTTTAATTATTATGAGTAGATAATAGTTGTATATCTTAACGACAGCATTTTCTATCACAGCCACAAGGCCATACCGCACGTAAGGACTTTAACCTCAGTGGAATAATGTTATGTAATGGACAAGGATTATTTAAATTTCCTCAGTTGTCCAAACAGCTTTTTTCTTTTTCTTTAAATTCTATGATCTAGTCAAGGCTCACACATTGCAATAAGTTGACCTCTCTTTTTAGTCTCTTTCTCTTTTTTATTTTTATTTTTGAGATAGTCTCACTCTGTTGCCTGGGGCAGTGTGCCATAGCATCAGCCTAGCTCGTAGCAACCTCAGACTCCTGGGTTCAAGTGATCCTCCTGGTCCCCCACCCTGACCCCCCCCCCCATGTAGCTGGGACTACAAGTGCCCATCACAGCACCTAGCAATTTTTTTTATTTTTTATTTTTAGTAGAGATGGGAGGTCTCGCTTTGATCAGGCTGATCTGAACTCTCAAGCTCAAGCAAGAGTGCTAGGATTACGGGTATGAGCCATGAAGTACTCCGGGCCTCTTTAATCTTAAAGACAGAATAGTTCTTTCTCCTTTGTTTTTAAAACTGCCCTTTTTTTTTT